GTCCAGCCTGAATCTTACACAATATTTACAGCAAACGACCAAGTAGAATCTTAGAGGGATATATTGCCATGTATAAAAATTTGATTTCTGAAATTGAAGCCTTGGTCACAGATTACATCAATTTTGTTTTGAGTTTCCTTGAGAGTAGCAACAAGCCCATGATTTTTTTTTAAAAATTCACTAATATTTCTGAAAATGGATTGGGATTAAATGGATCCCATCTGATAATCTATACTTAAATTTAATAGAATCATATAGTTGAAGGGACCTCAGTGGTCTTCCAGTCCAACCTGCTCCCTAGGACAGGAAGTTTATCACAAAGGATGCTATGGTGTACTTTATGAAATGCCCTACTGTGCCCTAAAGTCCAAATACATTATAATTGCAGCATTCCCTTCATTGACTAATCAAATCACATTGTCAAATAAATTAAAGCATTAAGATACTGTAACTCTGACATGATCTGCTTTAAGCAAATCTATACTGGCTTCTGATAACAACACTGTGACTTTCTAAATGGTCATCAGCTTATTACTTGATAATCTTTTCTAGGATTTTTCCAAGTATTGTTTAAGATGATTGGTCTGTAGTTTTCTGAGCCAACTTCCCCTTTCTTTTTTTAAAAAAATGGAATAATATGGACTGTTCTCCAATTTACTGCTACTTCCTCTGTGCTCTAGGATTTCTCAAAGATTTCAGTCAGTGGCTCAGAGATGATATCTACTAGGTCCTTTAATACTTTGGTATGTAGTCCATCTGGTCCAGGAGATTTGGTCCAGTACACAAAATAATACAATCTAATCCCTAATATTCCAGTTTCAAAAATCATCTGGTCTACAGTACATAAATTCCTTATCCTTCTTCTAAATCTGTTAAAAAGAATGAAACAAAATTTCCTGTGGGATTCCATTTCTTTCTTCTGTCTAATCAGAAACTATGTTTTAACAGACTATTTTGGTCTGATAAATCTATCATTCACAGTGACTATGATTCTGTAATGACATCAGAAATTAATTGCAATCCTGAGGCAAGACACAATTATCCACACAACTTCATGGATGCAGGATGTGGTCCGGGTGTGCAGTTTGACTTTGGACTGCAATTATTCTGTATCATGTTTCCTTGGAATTATAACACAGGTCTGCAAAAAAAANGAGTGAGCAGGACTCAGCGGATGAGAGTTGGAAGCCGCAGCCACTTGGCTCGCCTCGGTCTCGCCTCTCGGCCCGGCTCTGCGCAAGGGGCTCTGTCCGATGTCTCCTTACCCGCTATGCCCCCCTTCCCTTTCCCCTCTCCCCCCACCAGGAGCCCCATCCTGCTCCCCTCCCCCTTTCCTCCTCCTCCTCCTCCTCTCCTCTTTCTTCACCAGCTGCAACTGAGCAAGGAGGCACCATGGGGCCAGGCCCCTCACACCCACGTTTAGCCCACTGGAGCTCACTGCACCGGGGGAGGAATGAGACCCCGTTGTCCCGCAGAGCCCCCTGCTGCTTGAGCAAGGAGGACGAGGAGGAGGAGGAGAACAGTGGTGAGGTCTTGTGCCAGCCAGTCGGCCAGGCGGGGAGCAGGTCAGGAGGAGGAGAGTGGTGAGGTCATGTGCCGGCCAGCCGGCCAGGCGGGGAGTAGGTCAGGCGGGGGGGTGACTGGGCTGGCTGGGGTGGGGGGATCATGCCGCTCAGGTGTCTCCCGCCACCAGCAGCTTGGGTGTCCCGGCTCCATCCGAGCTGAAGAAAGCAGAAGCGCAGCAGCAGGATTGTTCATCAGAGGAGGCGGTGGCAAGGCGGCGAAGCGTGGCGGTGGCGAGAAGAGTCGGAAAGTGAAGGTCCAAAAGCACCGGCGCTGTGTCCACCATAGATGCAGGACGCCTCTATGTCGGACACAGCGGCGGGGCATCCAAACGACATAGGGCGGCTTTTGCCCGCTTGCCTCACCAGCCATAAACCTCACTGCACGTCACTGCCACCAAGTATATTGATTTAACTATGTATATGGTAATGGCTGCAAAGTTATTTTACGTTTTTATCAAAAATTCAATATTGTTCTTTCTGCAGAAAAATGGCTAATTAATGAAACTCAAGTTGTATGCCTAGATATCCAAAATAACTTTGCTTTTCAAAAGTGAATCTTTTGAAAGATTAATTAAAATGGTTATTTGAGCTCAGGGTTGGACTGTTGGTTGTTTTCTGCAAGAAAATTAAACCTAGACTGGACAAAGACCCCAATAAGAACTACAATTAACTGTAATTGTTAATCTCACTTTATGATTTATACTGCACTGATTATTGCTGATATTATCTAGATTTTATAAATGGTTTGTGATTTAGTATATTTGGTTATTTAAAGCTAGCCAATGAAATACTGAATTTTTTAATCTAGTTTTTTAAAGCTTTTCCCTGTTTATCTATTTTGTGCTTTATTTTTTCCTTTTCTGTCTTTTTTCTTTTCTTCTCTTAAAAATGTTTAATAAAAACATAATACTACAAAGAAAAAAATGAAATGTACTTACACATTATGTTCCACTACATCTAAATATCCCTAGAATATTTTGAAATATATTGTGTCACTGAAACTTATTTGTGTTCATATTATGTACATATTAAGTGATATTATTGTATCATTTTATGTTAATTCGTCTCCTCTCCAACTGTTCTTAGTTCCTTCCTAACCAGTATATGATCTGGTTATTAAAAAAACAAACACTTCCCATTTCCACAAAATAACAAATAAAAAGCAATAAGAGCCATGTCAAAAAGACAGACTTCTGAATTACGAGGGTTCCAGGAAATTGTACCAAGTCTGCCCCCAACCCAAAATTGTTTTGGGATCATCCGAATGTATAAATCACTTCCCTCTCTAGCCTGTGAACGTTCTGTAAAATAAGTCACATTCCAAAATGTTTTCCAGAAGTGGGCTTGCCTTTTAGAGGGCAAGAGTAAATTCAGTAAAATATCAGAACTAAAAAGGCCTATATTATAAACAAGAGAGTTAAGATAGTCTTCTGTGATGTTTGAAGCGAAGGAGAGGCAACTGTTCATCAGAAATAATTATACAATTGTGGGGTTTATATCCAAAGTGGAACGAGTCCCCCTAAACACATAACGGGAAGGTGACCGGGTTATAACATTTCTTGCACCTGATCTCTCTTACATTAATTAGAGACAAGGGATTCCAGCTATATCATAAATCTGCTGTTTTGCAAAAGAATTTCAGCCTTAATTTTTTTTAAAAAACAGTGTCTGAGGAGAGCTTTGCAAGCATACAAACACAGCACAGAAAATGTCATTCCAGGAAGCTGCAGTTCCCTCCTTCAAGGTTATAAACGAATGCATTACAGCAAAAAATCACTTAGCTTAAACAGCCTCATACATCTTTCTGCAAAAGGATCCATTGGCTTACTAGTAATATTTCTCAAATGCTGGTTCTGTTAATCTTGCCAGTATAATAAAAACAAAATAACACTAGTCTGACTCTGCTTTTTAAAAAAAAATATTACAGACAAAATTGTAGCAGCCAACTTTTACTCATACAAAGAACTACTTTCCTTTATTTTTCTTTATAGATCACCCAGGGTCTGCTGTGGAAGATAACCAAACTTTTTAATGCAGTTCTAGGATCTTGAGAAGGCAACCACCGTGAATAGATATCACTGGATACAGTCTTAAAATGTTCTTTCTCTACTGTAACCAGAGATGCTTTCTGTATATCTAAAAATGTAAGTTATGCTTCTGCTTAAGCATGTTTTGACAGATCATCTTAGCTGAGCTCTGGAGAAAACTAAGCAGAGACAGGGCTGGTCAATATTGGAAGAGAAGGAGATCCCAAATCCCACTGATTAAACCAATAGCACCCAGGAAGTGAGAGGAAGAGTTCTCTGTTCATAGCACTTACCCTCTAAAACAGATGTCCATGTGTCCTTGCCCTTACTATATCTTTAAAAACATGGTTATTTATTTCATTAATTAATTATTCCAAAAGTGCTTTTTCAAAAAACTTTGAAAAAGTTTGGACTTTGTTTTTTGAAGATGTTTCACTTCTCGTCCAAGAAGCTACTTCAGCTGGAGCTTGAGCTGAAGAAGCTTTTTGGATCAGAAGCAAAATGTCATCAAGGAAAAACAAAGTCTGGTTGTCTTTACAAAAAGAACTTTTGGGACAACCTGAATGACTGGGAATCTCCATAGACATTAATTAATTAATATGCTGCCTGACGCCCAGTGACATTGGGCAGTCTTAGCCTTGGCTTAGGGCTAAGTTGACCATAGCCTAATCTCTCATAGGACTTTGCATGCTAGTTTGAAAGTTCACTTCCAGGTACCCATCATTCTTTCCTTTATTATACTGTTTCTTGCTGTTGTTAATATCATTCACTATGCAGAGCCTTCCTGGAGTCAGGCAACTCTATAAATGTGATAAATAAAATGAAAAAGCTGGTAGGCTAGAGTGAGATTTAAGAAAATATCCTAGAAGAAGCAAGCCAGTTCCATAACGTGGCTAAGGAAACGCTCTGCGCATTTCAATTCTGAAGTCAAATAAACCAAGGGAGATTCCTTTTCCTCAAGCAGTGCTGAGCAGGGAGTTGGACTAAAAGACCCCCAAGGACACTTTTAACTCTGTTATTTTGTGTTATTTATTCTGTAGACAAACTCTCTGGGATCTGCCCAGTGGTGGGATTCAGCCAGTTCGCACCACTTCAGGAGAACTGGTTGTTAACTTTCTGAGCAGTTTGGTGAACTGATTGTTGGGAAAAATCATTAGGGCAGAGAACCGGTTGTTAAATTATTTGAATCCCACCACTGGATCTNTCCCCACTCCGGGGGAAGGTTACTGCAAAATCCCCTGGGGCTCGGGAGGCACAGAATAGATGGGGGCGGGGCCAGTCACAGATGGTATTTACTGGTTCTCTGAACTACTCAAAATTCCCGCTACCATTTGTCCAGAAGTGGTCAGAACCTGCTGAATACCACCTCTGAATTGCACCATAGAAAATTCTTCATCCCTGTTTAAACTCTTTGAATATATTTACCAGAGCATGATTTTGTCTTAGCTATATTCTTTGGTTTTCGTTTCCTGGTTTGAATTCCCTCTTTCTTCATAGCAAGAGGTCGGGGCACCTAATGAGAATACAGAAACATCAAATTTCATAAATCTTCCTTTTAGGAGATTTATCAGCCTCCATCAGAACTATTATGCCATAAGCAAAATTACACCATAATGTTCAGTAGAGTGACTTTAAGCCTCAGATCCACTGGAAGGTACCCTATTATTTATTCTCCCCAATGTTTTCAGTTAGAATTGTTTTAAGGTTTTTCTAAAGTTTAAAAATAAAATACATTAAAAAGCAAGGATCTGCTCCCCCTCCCAAAGCTTTTGGGATTAATAAGTCACTGAACATTTTTGTCTCTTCTTCCTTTCAGGTCTACTTTTTGAGTGTCCATATGAAATGACCTGAATTTCATTAGATTGAATCTCCTATCTCCCAGAAAGAGGATCAGAGCAACTAGAGAAACAACTTTGGCCTTTTACATCAGGGAGAGAACAATCAGGTTGCTTCTGCCTCCGATGCTGGAGAGAACCTCAACATTGGATGACTTGGGAATTAGGGTGCATTGCAGAAAGCACATTCTAGTTCCACCTGTTGTCCAAGGGAACAAAAATAACATTCAAAGCACAACATCAGGAAGACATTAGCCTACCTTGAATTGCATATGAACACCAGCAAGATGCTTACCATACTTTTAGGCTTTGAAGAAGACTCTTTGAAAGAAACTTTTAAGCATCGATTTAGCCCTTTCCATTGTGAATTTTGTTCCTTTTCTCTCCACCCACTGGGTCTTAACAGCACTCTCTGGGCAGTTTACAATATAGAACATTTGCATAGTGCTCCTAACAATCAAGATCCTCATTGGATCTTAGAAGGATGGGAGGCTGAGTCAACCATGAGCTTGTTAGGCTCGAACTCCAGGCTGTGGGCAGAGTTTATCTGTAATACTGCACTCTAACCACTGTGCACCAGGGCTCCTTGGTATAAACAAACAATATGTGCATGGATAAAAACAAAGACATTCCTCTTCTGAAACTTTCTTGTCTCTATATGATAAAAAGTGGACCCTCTCAACTAGTCTCTTTTATTATTTCTCATTTGTCAGCATTTAACAAGGAAGCTTATTTATTATGATAATGTTTCTAACTGAAGGATTCTTTAAAATGGAGAATAGTTCCTTTTCTTCTTATCATTCGTATTATATGAGACCTGGCAATAGCAACAGTTAATTAGTTCTGTTTTGTATTCAGTGTAGCTTTGTTGAAACATTATATGAAGGGAATGTGACAGAGAGGGATGCCATTTCTCTGTTGACATTCCCCTGTATCTTTTAGCTCTAGATGCAACTGCAAACACATAAAACAAACAAGCAAGAAAAGCATTTTTATTCCTCTGGGATTTCTCCAGCAGAGTTGGATATGGCCTTCCATAAATCTTAATAAGCATTTCCCCTGAGGGTCAGCTGCCCATGAAACTGAAAGAGCTGGACAGAAACTGCTGCTTACCCCATGAAGCTTCATGTACAGGCCACAAGCATTGCACACGGGCTCTCCTTCTGCATTCCTGCGCCAAAGAGTGGTAGTTGTGGTATGACAGTTTGCACAGGACAAGCCCAATCTCCTTGAAGAAGGCTAGAGAGACAAAGAGAAGGGGAAAACATCAATGGCCCAATGTGTGACTTGACCTTCCTCCCCCACAAGCAGCTGCAAAAATTTATAAAAGCGCCTGTGAAAAGAAGAGGAGGCACCAGTAAATAACAGGTAGATAAGCAAAGGCAGAGTCTCAACATTTCTCAAAAATAAAGGTCTCTATAGTATAAAATCATTAAAACACATCTTCAGGGGCGAGAATCATGTTGTGTCTTCAGTCACTGCTTACGAATTTGGTCCCAGAGCTTATCTGACTGATTTCGGAATACATTTGTTGCTTTTTGTTCTCCTGTACAAAAACAAGGCCTTGGTTTAGACATGTTTAACTTTTCTCATTGAAATCCTTTATAGTCAAGGAAAGGTATAAATTGTATAGACATCATCTACTAGAGATAATTAGTAAAAAAAATAAAAAAAACCTTTTTAGATTTTTCTGTTCTGGAATGGTCACAACCATCCAAATTGTTTTGACATCTTTAAATAAAGAATATAGCTGTAAAAAAAACAACCCTGCAAAACCATGGGGGAATATCTAAACACATGTCTGAATTTGATAACCTCATAACATAAAATTTGGGACTTTTTTTATCAATTGTTGGTGAACTATGACTCAGGATGCAAACAAGTTAAAGGTTGTTGGATTTAGATTCATTAGCTGCTATGTAGTAATGATACATTTAGGGTGGGGGGGGACGTTAAATTCACACCAAATATTATACTTTGAGAAAACTGGCGTAAGATGTTTTATTATTGATATGTTATTCCACTTCTGGTCTCTACAGTGGCTGTTAAAACAGCTCATTCTTTAAAAATGGTTAGAAATGTTAACAGTTTTCCATATTTGGTGGCCACATTATAAGTGCAACAATTTTAGAAAATGATGCCTAATAGAATAAAACATTTTAAAGCTGAATTCCTTTTCCAATTTGATGTTTTAAAAAATTATATATTACTAAATGTAACATACCCACCAAGCAGGGACGTGCAGTCAGGGGAGACAGGGGAGGCAGGGCCTCACCACTGTCATCATGAAAAGAAAAAAAA